AGAGTGCCATCTGTTGGTGGATGACGGCACCACGTCGGTTCGTTTCAGCAAGATGGCGTCATCGTCTCTATTGAATCTACACTGTTTGACTTCTCAAAACTTTTGCATACTTGTTTTGAATCTTCTGAAAGTCTTCAACTAGAACTTTATAATATTTGTTGATGTTGTTTCATCTGAATACTTTATTGTATCGAATAGGCTCCTGAACTACTGAACCGATTTAGATGAAATTTGGTAAGAATATAGTTTAAGACTCTGGGAAGGACAAAGGATAGTTTTTATCCCGGAAATCATCTCTTAAGGGGGTGAAAATGAGGGTGACAGTTTGTATGGGGAAGCAACCCAGAGACGGACCCGAGCGAAGCGAGGGTGAGTCGCTAATTTAGTATATGTTTAATGAGTCTACACGTAATTGGTCTAATATTTATGCCAAAATATAAATTAATTTTGCTTGTTACAATATGATTATATCCCAATAAATAAAAGGGACTACTAATTAATATTCATTCAGTACGACACCCTAATTAAGTACCTACTGTTATTTTTATAAATAAGTATTATTATAGTACAAAATAAATAAGTATTGCTGTGGAACAATAAAACTAGTTAATCTCTAGCTGAATAAGAAAGTATAGAGCAACTGTGTGAAATAAAATATTCGTCGCAATAAAATCTTAAATATATTTAAAACAAAGAGTCTTAAAATTGATATTCTCTCCAATCTTCGGCAATACAAAGGAGCAGTCTTTAAAATATTGCCGCATGAAATCGATCTCTCGTAAGTAGCTTACCAATTTTATAGGGAGGTTTAGCCTTCTTAGGGTTTATCTTTCGATACATTTAGCTACCGTGCTGATGTTAAATTAATTCTTGGTATATTTTATGTTATTTTACATCTTATTAATATAATATTATAAAGAATTATATTATTATATTAATAAAATGTAAAATAACTATGGTTGTAATTTCAAACAACTTAATTTTCTTGACTAAATACCACAGGAAACCTAATACTTGTATTGAGAAAATGGAAAATTAATGATTACATGAATTTAATATTTGATAGCGGTAACAGGCCTAGAATAAATATAATATAGAAGTATATAATTTATAAGTTATCAAAATTATACCCACCTCCAGGGCTCGAACCGCTGACCTTTCTCGTACTATAATATATACCTACTTGAAAAACAAATATTCTTAAAGCGTAAGTCAAAAAGGGAGGTTTTGAATGTTATTTCAAATAACATTGTCATCATATCTCTTGAAGTATTCTCTTATTTAAAATATATATATTATATATATATATATATATATATATATATATATATACGAGCTATTAAAATAAACTTCTTTTGTTATTGATAGAAACTATATTTTATCATGGTACCAAAGACGTACCTATATGTATTGTAGAGTGTAGATTTCTGTTTAGGGGTTTTTCCGCAAAAAGTATACATAAAATCGCATACTTAGCAACGTTATATCGGTAATAGCTAATTAGTCGAATCCCATAATCGGTCAGGATAGGAATTACCCAAGCGGGCCCTATTTGCGGCCGCGATTAGACCCATAAAACTCGATGCGATCTTGATAAGGGACGCGAAAATTGCTAACAAACGTATCTCCTAAGCGTATAAACACCTGGCTGGAATTTGCTTTTTTGTCTTCGTCTTTTTAACATTTTAAATCCAAATAAAATATGTAAGAATCTTTAAGTGATGCTAGAAAGTGTATTAAAAGAATTTGTTTAAAGTTGAGTTTCAATTTTCTCGTAGAAGAAAACCGTTATGCGTAGGCAGAGATGTGGGAGGATAATGCTTCAGCAATTTATTACGTCGTGATATTTCAATTGTTTTTTCTTTAATAAACATAAAATGTACATAGAAAGAGTAAATTAAATATTTATTTCCACTTATTTGTTTATGAATGAGGGAAATAGATTACATTTAACTATTTTTTCGACGACCGGTTTTTCAACCTATTATATCAGGTATGTGATTGTTATTTATACTTTTGCCATAAACATCTAAGTGATTGTTACAAAAACTAATAAATGCATTTTAAAATAAAAGTTAGTTCTCTAACTCCAACAAAATGACTCTATAATCAGTATCAAAAACTTTTCACGTCTGTATTAGTTAACATTTAGACAGGATGAATTTCAAATTTTTCACTGTGCATCGCTTGATTTTTGAAACAAACTTTTGTCTGCTATTTGCCATTCCAGAGGCGTCGGTTTAGAAATTTTCCGACGCTGTAAATTTGCCGGTTTTATTAACGTCTATGCATATTCAAATAGTTTGTCTTCATTCCCCGGATGAGTTATATTGGCTCACGCTATAACACTCACAGATTTTGAAAGTCAAAGTTTGTTCATATTTAACACATAGTAGTAGGATTTTTTTTGTTTTTTTTCTCGCACTTTTGTAATACGGGCTCAGTTCGTCGCTTCCATTTGTAAAATATTACCTACATATTTAATAGCAGTGAGCTTTTATTTTAACCTACTAACCTAACCTACATGGTAGAATTCACGTTCTTAGAGCTTAAGTTTTAAGAAATTTTATTTATGTGGCCTATCCCAAAAGTAAGATATTGAATTTTTGGGCCTTCAAGTCTGATCTGCTTTATCTGTCTGTTCTAGGTTTTAATTAATACAACAGATTAGCTATAACGCCTCGATGGTTCAGTGGCTAATATGCAAGACAACAAATGTTTCTCATGGAATCGATTCTTGTGTTGATCTAAAACAGTTATTAGATTTTTTAGTAAGAACCTCAGTAGCATCCCAAATTGGAGGTTGCGGTGTAGCACCACTGTCTCAGGGAGTACGTAAAGCCACCGGTCCTACGCTTGATGACTCATCGTTCGTAACTAATTGATGTCCTACTGGACTATGAGAGTGAAAGGAATAGACAGCGCACTTTGTTTGCACACATAATTATGCACTATATCTCTCGTTGTGGTTAGTACGAAAGAACTTGACTGCTGTACATTCGGCCTAAAAGACATTTTTTACTTTCTACCATAAAAATTACATGTGGTCTGACAACAAATTAAGCAATTTATCTAAACTCTCAATAATCAGACTACTGTTATAAATACGAAAGTTTATATTTACAATGTACATATTTATATATACATATACAGTGTATATATCGATACCTGAATTGGCAAACCAGGTAACTCCATATGAGCAAATTTTTCAAGCGACTTTTAAAACTTTTAATAATCTTTTACTCTTCCCCTTAAAAAATCTAAAACACCGTTGGTAGATAATGTCGTAAGCTATTATTTTTGATACTGTACAATTCTACTTAAATAATCCTATTGAAGTACTGTTGCATGCAATCTGAACCAAACAATATTTTTTGACGAAATGTGGAGTTGGCTGGTTTGCCAATTAAGGTATTGATATGTGATTGGATATAATAAAAATGGATCACATTAATCCATCTAAAAAAGCCAACTTTATGTAATTTAGTGTAAATAAATATATCAATAACCATTTTAAAACTTTTAGCTAAGCTTAATCTGGTTTGTATAGCATTCCGTGTTGGACGGACGCACAAAACAAACTGTTACAATTAAGCCGCGTCCCGCTCCGACAGAGTTCAACAGTTTTTCCTCGTAATTCTATTACATTATTAACTTACACCGTGTTAAAGAAATAGAGATGTTACTCACATGTTCTATCGACAATATTTTTATATGTTGTTATTTATTTCTTTAATTTCTGAACAAAAATTAACTACATAAATCTATACTAATATTATAAAGAGGTTTTGTGAGGGTGTGAGTATGTGACGTTGTAGGGGGTAATCTCTGGATCTACTGAACCGATTTAGATGAAATTTGGTAAGAAGATATTTTGAGACCCTGGAAAGGACATACAATACTTTTTATCCCGAAAATCATCCCTTAAGGGGGTGAAAATGGTGATGAAAGTTTGTATTGGGAAGCAAGCTAGGGACGACCCCGAGCGAAACGAGGGTGAGTTGCTAGTATTGAATATAAATAGTTATGTGACAAGCTAAATAATCTCATTTTTTAAGAATATTTTTTTTCTATATAAACTTATGTAAACAGTACTAAATGTAATGTTTTTGAGATAAGCTCTGACAAATGTATGTAGTAATGTAACATTATATATCTACATACATTCGAAACTTACAGTGTACCTATGATATATAAGTATTTATAAATATAAATATTTTTTTCTATACCAAATATCTTAGTAATTATTATAATAATTATTATAAAAAAATTAAAGTATAATAATTATGACAATAAATGTTAAATATAAAGTATCGATATAATTAATTGCACAGCTCTAATGGACAGGTTTGCGGCGTCGTCGACTGAGCAAAGATCGCGCTGAAAACTTTTAATACTTTAACTCGAATCTCACTCAATTTCGCTTAGCGCCGCTCGTTGACACGCCTCGATGTTCTTCGACGCGATAGCTTTATAACTGTTTTATAACCAAACTAAATAGAACTTTCAAGAGTTAACTTTACCCTGCTGTCTAACCAGTTGTCAAGTTAATTGTTTGAATTCATAACGAATAAATAATGATTTGTCATCCTAAATATACAGAAAACAATCAGAATACTTACTTGTTTGTATATGACTAACCTAAGCCCGCGGCGCTGCCCGCGTAGTTTAGACAACGGATTTTCATTTAAAATTCTAAACTCTTTTTTAATCTTTTAGAGGTTTAATTTCATAATGTCCTTTCATAGCCTATAACCCTATGACGAACTTGCCTGCCTTATTTCTAGTTTGTAGCATTAATACTTTCTAAGTAAGTTGGCGGTGTTTCACCTCCGTGCCTCGGAAAGCACGTAAAGCCGTCGGTCCTGCGCCTTAACTCTCACCGGTCGTGTCGAGTGGTCGTCCCACCGGAGTATGAGAGTGATAGGAATAGAGAGTGTACTTGTGTCTGCGCGTACACTTGAGCACTATAATATCTCCTGCGCAGTTGGCTAATCTCATTGAGATTGGCCGCCGTGGCCGGAATCGGCTAGGAGAACATCATCATCACTTTCTAAGATTTTGTGATTAATGAGTAATTAAGTAGTATTTCGCTTTTCTATAGATACATATAATATAAATTTTGACAAGAGTTATGAAAATTTTATTACATACTGTAAGCACTTCAATTTTCTTTAAATTGAAATACATACTTATTCTAAGTACTAGGTATCTTTTCCTTAAAAAAATTAAATCGATCAATTTACCTTATCGCTGTACAGTTAGTATAACTTATGAACTCCATTTTTTTCTTCTCATTTAGTATTTTTTTATTATTTTTAATTCATGTTATTCAATAAATTATAATTCTTATAATTTTTAATAAGAATAATCAGTTATTACCAACTTAGATTCAAACCTGTAAGTTATACATTTAATAACGTTGATTTAAACAGAGAATGCTCGCAAAAATAAAACAAAACGTAAAACGCGTAAGAAAGTCCTTCGGCGGGCGGTGGGTGGCAGGGTGGTGGTCGACAATAGGTGTACAGATAACTTTCCTTCCATAGAGTCAATACCGACCCTAGGGAGTTTTACCCTCGAGGCTCACTCGCTTGGGAAAACTAGACCCTACAATATAGAAAAGGACAAACTTATATGTCACTGTAGAGTGTAAACGGTGCATGCTTGTACTTATGTATTAATAATATATAAAGGAAAAATGCCGAGGACGTGTGCCGAGTGATATGTTGCGACTGTTAGCGAGAGAGGGATGGATGACGTCAATTTGTCGTGTCGTGATGGGGTTTTATTTTGTTTCTGCGTTTACAATTTTTTTGCGAATGATCTATTTCTGAATTTGTTTTATTAGTATTGTGTACATACCTTAGAAATTCAAAGATATATAGGTAAGAATACTCTAGTTTTAACTATACGAACACGATATACTTATTGTAAAGTGTAGCTTTTTTAGTCAATATTTCTATAATAGCATGTATCACACATTATAAATACGAGTCCTTAGTTACATTTAAATATGTTAAGTATAATTGAAAGAAAATTAAAATATTTTAAATTTTTTTACTCGTACTTCCAGTTATTAAAAGCATATTATTTTTTTAATTATTATAAACAATAACTTACATTTTATCCAACGAGCGACTTAGGTCATGTCTCCATGATGAAATACAATTGAAAGCCCATGTTTTCATCTGCAACTCGAACTATTTTTAAGAGCATTATGATAATAGTCTAAGACCGCAACAGTTAATATTTCCAAGGAATAATTCTAATCAGAAACCCGATACTCCTACACTTAATGCCATTTAAGGGCAGATGCACACTGGACGCTAATTTGGTAATGCGCCGCGGCACGTGAGCGCCACGCGACGGTAGGTTTGTGCGATTTGTTCACTTGACTTGCTTAGAAAGGACAAATAGCTACTAGATAAATAAAAACGACAATCTTATTATTTTCGGTTAAGTAATCAAATTGTTAGTAATGCTTGGAAAATATGTTGTATTTTTTTTAGATTAATATCTTTTTTGTTTCGCAATCTAACTTAATTAATTGTTTAATCTTCTTATAATTTTAATGTATATTTCTTTTTCTTTAAGAAATAACCGAATCTTGTAAGATTTTTCTTATGGAAATTTTCGTTCATATTATAAAGTTAAATATAACAATGTACTTAATTATTATAATATATTTTGCCATTTTCTTTATCTAGCGACTCGCCCTCGCTCCGGTAGGGTTTGACCGATAACCGGTACGTTTTAACGTTTAGTATACATTTCTCAGAGATGAGGTATTTCCCCACAGTAAAAAATATCCCATATGCTGACCCGGATCCCGCTACCATCATACCAAATTTCATCAAAATCTGTACAGTTATTTTCTCATGATGCGGTCACAGACGGACAGACAGATAAAAATATTCTAAAAACTATAGATTCGGCCTTTGTATCGATAATATTGACTATTTCAATAAGATTTTCCAGAAAATATTTAAAATTTCGACTCAGAATTTCATTATATGTATAGATTATTATAATTAATCATTAATTATCTAAATATCAGAAACGTGAAATAGGATTGATAAGTAAAACAAAACAATAAGAACATTATGTGTCTATACACATAATGTTTTTGTTTCCACCTTTCAAATATTAGTTTGTACATTAGCGAATAAAAGTTATATTTACAATAAAATATTGATATGGAAAGTTATTCGCTGATCGAATGACATCCGGGAGGACGCGTGCGCAGGTCGCGTGCGCCGCACACGTCGTCAAACGAGCGCAACTAAAGACTCATTTGGATTATTGTAGCCTAATCGGGTTACAACAAATTGGTACTGTCTGGAAATTACGGAAAGGCAATTTGGTTAAAATATTTTTAATAAAATAAACATAAATGTAGATTTAAAGTATAGATACTAGTAATTATGTATGTATATTTTTGAATTATAGTTTAGTCTTTGTAAGTTATGAAAATTAGGAAAATATTCAATTTTAATTTTGGTTGATTATGCAACGATAACAAGCTTGTAGTAGTTTTGAATCCTGAATAGTATGAATAGTGTAAAAGTCCTTCAAAAAAGTTATAAGAAAATGAGATGTATTTAAAAAAAATATATAATGTGAAAATCTGGTTGAAAGATAAGTTAAAATTACTATAATCAATTTATATTTACAAATACGACTTTAACGAAACACCATGCATTTTATGTTAATTTAGTAATACAATCTCTATTCTTTACTGACACAATTAGGAGCAGCGATAAACCCATGCATTATCTAGTCACGGGCAACAATGAAAAATATTATCCAGAGAGGACAAAAATGGTAAGTATAATATTACAATTAGGGTAGAAACGGTAGCATGTGCGAAATAACAATAGCTTAAACTATTTAAGTTTATGTTTTGTTCGAATTACGAGTATGATGGATGGGTCGCGACTGCGCCCAGTCACCCAGTGTGCGCCCACCCTTTCTTTCTGATGACCCTAATAGGTAATTCTATCTTATCAATATTATTTTTTCAGAATCATAATTTAAATTGATTTTATCTTATCTTATTAGATCAGATGCGTCACTTTGGATTATCTCTTAGTATGGGAATTGAAGGACATATTTTCTATGCTATTTCTCGATGTACTTAGTTAATCTTTTTATATTAAGGCATTTTTTATAACTTTATAGAATTCTTGCATAGTAAAGTAGGTAATAAGTCAATCTATCTACGCGATGGTTACTTAAGTGAAAATGTTTACTTGAATTTAAACAAGAATGGTAAATTTACGTATAAATAAAACTTCCCATGTTGTATATGTAAGTTTTTAATATCTTTTGTGATATTTTGTTCTTAACGATTACAATGTACAAGTCTTATAAGATATACAAGTTTAAATAATATATATGTACCATATAATATTTCATATTCAGGGAGGCAATTCTGAAAATACAGTTTTCATATACGGATTTGATTTTCAAAGGGGTATACAGTTCATTCTACATTTTTTCGTATACATTTAGTTCGTTTCTGAGAGATATTCCATTTTCCCCGTTTCGTTGTAGATATTTCTTTTCGTACTTAGGTAATAAGGATATGTATGGTTTCATGATATGATTGTTATTCCAGATTTACTTTCATATACACTCGCGTTACAAATAACATTATCGGTGTAACTCACATTATCCTAATCAATTCGAATTGAAGAATCGAAAAATTTACAAATCGATTTTAATTTTTACAATTGTACTTACAATAAATATATCACAGATTTTACAAAAATGAAACACACATACGAAAGAACTTTATACACAGCCCTCGTTCTTACGAAGAAGTGGGGCTTTTACAATATGACATTCGAATCTAGCAATCAGCTATGAAATGTTTAATAATTTTAATACTAATATTTACAGGTAAAGTACAATATATACAAAATTCTACCTGCTCACGCCGTCACCTTTATTCTAATGTGAAAGTAATACAATTGTACTATAATAACGGTGAATAAATAATAATTAATTATTATTACACAATAAATTTTGATACATTGTAATAAATAGGGTATGGAAAAAAAATCGGCGTAAACTTTTATATATATCTAATGGTGCATTGATTAAATGAAATCTAAATAGTTTCTTTAAGCATTATAATAAAAATTAAAAAATCATAAATAACATATTACAGATCTCCTAGTAACTGTAGGCCAATCATACATTATTGGCTTTTGGCAAATATTTGGTATCTTGAGAAATTTGTCTGTAGTTAATTTTTAACAGAAACACTTAATAATATATAACGTACTGACCACATGATAACACAGAAATATATTTGCCAAAATATAATTATATGACCAGTATTTAATCTAGTAACACAAATACGGTGTTACATTAAAAATTTAGTGCTATTGTTAATTTTTTGCTTAAAATAATTAAAAATAAAATAACGAAAATCCAACATAGACTGACATGAATGGGATAAATATCACGTCTTAAGAGAAAACTAGGTATATAAACTACTAATGACAGAAATAAATTCTACCCCGCCTTTTGCAGAGAGCAGACTCAATAACCACTCAATATATCAACAATTACACAAATAAACCAGTTCCTTTTGACTATTTATGATAGAACATTAAAATGTATGAATATCACTCGAAAATAACAAAAAAAAATTATTGTAAAATTCAGTGAAATTTGGCACTTAATCTGTATCTTCTTATTTTATTAACACTCAAAAACGAGAATTCGGTTCGAATTCCATACTTCGTTTTCGAATGTCATTAAAGTACAAAGGACACAAAAATGATATATAATGAAATATATTACAGTATAAAAAATCAAACAGGCCCTTGATTTTGACGAAAATGCTGCCAAATGCAAGCATTGTCGAAGAATACCAATTTTAATTCTCGCAAGTTACAGTCATACCCGACAACCCTATAGCCGTTTCCCGACTGTCATATAAAACTATGTATGTCAGTCGGGTGTGCCCTACATGATAGTCCTGACTACTCTTTTGTTAGACAACTGTATGAATAAGTAAACTGTGGTTATATTGAA